ACAGCAGCCATTTTTGATATTTAAAGTGACTGAGGACACAGCCATTTTGAATCTTTACAAGTGGCAACCATTTTGGATTTTAAAGTGATAGCATTCTGATTCAGATTCCAGGGACCTAAGAATAGGCTCTGTTTGCCAAGGTCGGCAGGTACATACAAGAAGCTGATAACAGGAAAGGAGACAGGTGGTGAGTGTATAAGTGCTGTCCATCAGTGAATAGAGGAGCACAGCACAGTACCCTGCTTGCGTAGATAATATACAAATAAAATAACGAAAATGAAAGTTGTGGTCAAGGCACTCCAGCATACAATCACCAATTAAATATAAACCCAAAAACATCACAATGCCTCAGAGACAACAGAGCATCACAGTCCACACAAAGAAGCAAGATAAAACAGGAGAAATAAGGGACCAGGATACAAACCTAAAACACATCCCTAAGGAAGACACAGCATTGGAACTCTCTGATAAGGAATTCAAAAGAATTATATTTAGGTATCTTCAAAGGACTGAGAGACAGATCAAGGAAAACACAGAGAAAACCCTAGAACAATTTCAAAAGACAATATGAGAACAAAATGAAAAATAAATGAAAAATTAGAAATGATACAAAATCTACACACAGAAATCCAGAAGATTAATACTAAATTTTCAGAAATAGATAAGACACTGAACTGGCAAAAGAGTAGAACTGAATCAGTGGAATACAGAATTAGTGAGATTGAAGGCAAATACCTGAACACTTCTTTGGAAAGGGATCAGTCAGAAAAAAGATCAAAACAAAATGAAGAAAGCCTAAGGTTCATGTGGGATACCATCAAAAGGAATAACCTACGTGTCATCAGAATTCCAGAACAGGAAGACACAAGTAAAACAACAGAGAAAATTGAAGATTTCTTGGAAGAGAATTTTCCTGGTATGATGAAAAATGAGAATATATCCATTTAGGAAGTCCAATGAACCCCAAACAGGATAGGCCCCAAAAGAAAATCACCCAGACATATCATGATCAAACTGACCAGAACCAAAGACAAAAAAGAATCGTGAGAGCAGCACGGGAAAAACAAAAAGTTACCTACAAGGGGCAACCAATAAGACTAGTTCGGATTTCTCAACAGAAACCACACAGGTGAGAAGACTATGGAATGGTATATATAAAACACTGAAAGAGAAAAATTTCCAACCAAGAATTATGTACCCAGCAAATTTGTCCCTCAAATATGATGGTGAAATTAAGACACTTCCAGATGAGCAGAAATTAAGGAATTTTTTAAAACCAGACCAATCTTATAGGAGATGCTAATAGGAGCCCATTGGACAGAGAAGCAGCAATAGCCAACAACAACTGACCATTAACACACATGATGACATAACCCATAAACCAACCCAACTATGGAAGTATCCAAAGTAAATAAGCCTACAAGATTGTAAATAGGGAACCAGAGACATCAATTGACAAATGAGGACAACTACAAATCAGAAAGAGGGAAAATAATGTGTAGTTACAGAACTTCTAAATGGTAAGGAAGTCAAGACAAATACAAGATAGAATGGACTGTTCTAAACTTGGGAAGAAAACTATACTATAAATCACATGATAAACCTTCACATCAAAATAAAAAAGAGGACCGCAGCACAAATATTTAGCCAATACTAAAACAGTATTGGGAGCTCTGGTAGCATAGTGGCTAAGGCACTTGACTGCCCACCAGGTGGCTGGCGGTTCAAACCCATCAGCCACTCCTCGGAAGGAAGGTTGGGCAATCCTACTTCCATAGTGATATTGCCTCGGAAACCCAAGGAGGGGTCAATATGAGTCAGGGCTGACTCAACGGCACATAACAACAACAACAACAACAAAACAGTAGCAATGAAGGAAGTGATAACATGATTCATAAACAAACTGAGCTCAGCATAGAAAATTATATGAAACAAAGAAATCAACACCACAAAAAAGCACATAACAAAAATGACAGCAGTACATTCACACTTGTTGATAATTACATATCTGCCAAGGGACTTATCTCTAAGATTTATAGAAAACTCCAATGCCTCAACACCAAAGGAATTAACAATCCAATTGAAAAATGGGGAGAAGACATGAATAGACACTTCACCAAAGAGGATATTCAGGTGGCCAGCTAATACATGAAGAGATGCTCACAATCATTGGCCATCAGAGAAATGTAAATCAAAACAACAATGAGATACCATCTCACCCCAGCACTGATGACAAGGTTCAATGAGACAGAAAATAATAAATGCTGGTGGGGATGTGGAGAGATTGGGACTCTCATACACAACTGGTGGGACTGTGAAGTGATACAACCACTGTGGAAAGCAATATGGTTGATTGGTTAGAAAGCTGGAATGGAGATACCATTTGACCCAGCAATCCCATTACCGAGTATATATCCTAGAGAGGTGAGAGCCAGGACAGGAACAGACATATGCACACCCATGTTCATTGTAGTGCTATTTACAATAGCAAAAAGATGGAAACAATGTACGTGCCCATCAGCGGAAGAGTGGATGATGACCAAACTATGGTACATGCACACAATGGAGTGCTGTGCAGCACTAAAGAATAATGTAGACTCTGCAAAACACTGCATAATATGGATGAACTTGGAGGACTTTATGCTGAGTGAGATAAGTCAATCACAGAAGGACAAATATAGTATTAGTTCATTGTTGTAGAGGGTCAAGGAAAGGTTTATATATGGAGGGAAACTTTTTTTGTTGGCTGCCAGGGTCGGGGGGAGGGAACACTGCAAAAAAAAAATTGATCCATGTCCCTTTAATTTTGTGTATTTCACTGTACATAAATTATATTTCAATAAAATGCATTAAAAAAAGAGCCAAAACCAGCTCTTTAAACCAACATTTCCAACAATTAGAAAAAGAACAGCAAGAAAAGCCTGCAGTCACCAGAAGAAAGGAAGTAATAAAGATTCGAGCAGAAATAAATGAAACAGAAAATAGACAGTAGAAAAAATCAACAAGACTAGAAGTTGGTTTTTTGAAAAGATTAATAAAATTGACAAACCACTGGCAAATTTAACACAGGAAAAGAGGGGAGAGAATACAAATAACATGAACAAGAAATGAAATGGGTGACATCACAACAGAACCAACTGAAATAAAAAGGATAATATCAGGATACTATGAAGAACTGTACTCCAACAAATTTGAAAACCTAGAAGAAATGGGCAGATTTCTAGAAATACACTACTTACCTAAACTAAAACAGACTGTGGTGGAAAAGTTGAGTTGAACAGGTCCATAACGAAAGAAGAAATTGAGCAGGTCATAAAATACTACCAACAAAAACAAGTCCTGGCCCAGACAAAACTGGAAAATTCTACCACACATTCAGAGAAGAACTGACACCCATCCTACTCAAACTATTCCAAAACAGAAAAGGATGGAATTGTCCCAATTCATTTTATGAGAGTAATGCTGGCCGTGATGGTTAAGGTTGTAACTTAACTTGGCTGGGCCATTATTTCCAGTGGTTTGACAGTCATGTGATGTAGTTATCTTCCATTTTATGATCTGATGTGGTCATCCTCCATTTTCACATGACACCGTTTTCATGTAAACAACATGCTCTTTGGAATTTAACCGTGTTGATAAATGAGGAGTGGGTATAATCATATATTAATTTTAGAATTATTTTTAAATATTAATATATTCCACCTACCAGCAGACACGATTCTAAAAAATTTATTCATTCTTTCTCACATTGAAGTTTTGAAGCAATAATATATACCCTAGCTTTGGATGAAATATATTAACAATGCGACTGCTAGATGCTGTGGAAATTTTTTTTCTCATAGCTTCGCTCATTTAAAATTTGTTCTAATTCCTATCTAGTATATGGATATGTAAAAATTTACCTAAACATTCTCAATAACCTGTAACAACCTAATAAAATTTTTCTAAAACATCAGAATGGCTTTTGAGTATACAAACATGAAGGGAAATTGCTTTTTAATTCTAATTATCTTTAACATATAACCTTTGGATCATTAATAACTCACATGAAGATTTCTGGGCTTTTTCCTTAACCTTTCTGGGACTATGTGATCCTGCCCTGCCCATATCCATACCTCTCTTACCTCCTCTTCTCAATTCTCATCCCTAATTCAGTGCTTCATCTCTGATCCAAGTCAACAATAGGAACTGCATAAAACCAAGGAAGAAGATAAGGGAATCAGCAACATAATTTGAGTTGGAAAGTTTCTGAAAATAGACTAACAGTTTGTGCATGTACAGATTGCTGCATTTATTAGCCCATGAGAGGCATCATTTTCAAGTGGGAAAAATTAGGAAAAAATGTTCATAATGCAAGAACGTTCTGTAAACATAGCGATTTCCTCCCACTCCTTGAAATTAAGAGCAAAAAAACTGGAGAGGAATGCAAAAAAAGCTTTCTCACTCCATGGGCTGGAAAGCCTGCCACACTGTCTCTTGCCTCTTGGTTCGTTGAGCCTGTTGTCTCTGCCGGCCATCTTTCTGGGAAGGATGTCCAGTGCAGGGATCTCAGGTCCAAGAATGCATTCCACTCCAATTCTGGTTCTTTTCTCTTGATGGAAAAAAAAAAATTTTTTTGTCTCTTAGATGTGGGAATATTTCTAAATCTACCCCAATCAGCCACAAATCCAGTATAAATACAGAAATACAGGCAGGTATGAAGTAGCAAATAATTGTGAGTTCTAAGTGTCAAGTTTTCAAAGAAGAAATGACCAGCATTTCCTCAGCTGTCTGCTTCAAAGCAGTCTGTCTGTATTATTATCCTGGAAAGGAGACAGGATATTTTCCAGCTTGTTTATTATTCTCATGTCTCTCTGAAACTACATTGCATGAAAATATACAACACTGAAATTTGTCTTTTGAAGGATAACATATCTATAATAAAGTAATATTAAGGAGATAGCTTGATGAATTTTTACATGTGCTGACTCCCTGAACTCAAGGGTTTTTTACCTTTTCAGATTTCGTGCCTGACAACCAATGTTGTGGACATTATTTTGGCTCATCACTTTGGACAGGTAAGTGCTCATTTCATCCAGCAAAGCCATGTTTATTGGCTTGTGTGCAAAGCCTTATTTGAACTCAGGGCTACCTCAGTGTTTACCTGATCATAGTAGGTGACACCTCCAGAGCAGCCTCAGGTGCATGTGGCCTAGAAAGGGTAATCCTACCTCAGTGCCATATGGCGCTTGGAAATTGGAGAGATGAGAGAAGACAGCATCTCCCCCCACTCATTCCCTGTAAGCAGCACGCCATCTGTTAATGTTTGACAACATCACGTGCTTCACCAAGCATCTTTAGAGCCATAATGAGAACTGGGAAAGGCTTCACAAAAATAGAAACTTCAGAGAAAAAAAGAAACCATGAAATGTTAGTACTAAAAGGACTTAGGGATCATTCTGTTCAACTCCCTTCTAAAGGGAAACTGAAACCCACAAAGAGGAAGTGACAATTATCAGGTGAATAAATTATTAGGTGGGGAACAGGACTCAAGTTGTGGTAGGGTTTGGGAAATAGTCCTCCTTTTACAAAGGGAAAAGTGAGTTGGATAACCTATGAAGCAGTGATGGAATAAATAAGCAATGAGGTCAGAGAGCTATGAGATGTCTGGACTGGGGAGATGAGAACAATATGAATAGGGATAATATGTGATCAACTACAATCTGTGGAGTTCATTTTATTTTTTAATTTTTACTGTGATTTGGGTAAAAGTTTACAGAGCAAATTCATTTTCCATACAGCAGTTCATACACATTTTGTTTTATAACATTGACTGCAATTCCCCACAATGTAACAGCTGTCTTCCCACTTCCTCCCTGTGGTTACGTCTTCCCTGTGTCCTCCTTTCTTCTGCATACCTGCCCCCTGAACTATCTCTCTGTACAAATAATTGTCCTTCTGTTCTCCCTTGATTGATTGTTCTAAGGAGTATATCTTCCTGGTGTAAATGTTCACCCCATGTGCCTGTCTGTTGTTTGGCTGGAAGCCACAGGAGTGAGTTCAATTCCAGACCTGAAGGGTAACTAGGAGCCATAGTCTTGGGAGTCTCACCAGGCTCTATCAGACCAGTAAGCCTGGTCTTTTTTGTGATTTTGAGTTTTGTTCCACATCGTTTGCCCACTTTATCCAGGATCTCCTGTACTGATCCCTTTCTGTGGAGTTCATTTTAAATATTATTTGAAGGAAAATGGTAGATGGGAAGAAAACTAACATTAACTGAATACTGATTATATGCTAGGCACTGTAATAAGTACATTAGCTCCATAATGTCAGTTATTTTTCACATGGTTTTATTTAGCCTTGTCTTCCAGTGGGGAAACTGAGGAGCCAGAAAAGCAATGTAACTTGTCACTGTTATATCCAGATAGTATGTGGTGAAGCTGACATTGAATCTAGGTCAGGCTAGTCTCAAAGTCTTTCTTTTATTTAGATTACATTTTTATCAATAAAGTTTTACATTCGTGTGTGCTTTAAAGAATACAGGAGTTCTATAGGGCTTATTACAAAGAATCTTCCACTCACCTCATTTTCTACTTCTTAGAAGTAAACACTTTTGACTCTTAACTGAGTCTTTTGGTTTTGCCTTCATAGTACTCTCTTTGATTAAGATATAGCTTACATATAATAAAGTACACAGATCATAAGTGTGTCTGCAAAAAAGGCATGGGGGTGGCATCCTCTGACCTCCTCCAACCTCACAAGTGGAAAACAGAGAGTCATCATCAACAGTCTGAGGCGTATTTCTATGAGGCCAGACATGCTGCCACCCTCCAGCCTTTTTACCAATTCTGACACCAACTGTCCCTCCAACAGCACTCTCTACATCTTTGCTGGGAATCCATAATTCCTTGCGATGGCCACACACAATTCACGACAATACTTATGCTTATGGCGTTTATTAGAGAAGTAACAGGCTACAATTCAGGTTTAGGAGCACACACAGGATACAATTCTTCAATCAGGACAGTCTCCCCTCTGCTATACCTTCAAGCATGCCTCTCTGGCCCTTGGCCTCTCAGCCTGGCCTCTGCTCTGCTCAGGCAAGTGTTACAAAGCTCTTTTAGCTCTTGTCGGTAGGTACACCTAGGTGCACCCCACTCCACCAGCAAGCCTCCTCCTGCCCAAAGGCACTCAGCTTTCTCACTCCATGGGCTGGAAAGCCCACCACTCTGTCTCTTGCCTCTTGGTGCCTTAGCCCATTGTCTCAGCTGGCCATCTTTCTATGAAGGAGGTCCAGCACAGGGATCTCAGGTCCAAGGATGCATTCCTCTCCAATTCTGGTTCTTTTCTCTTGATGGCAGTGAGATTCCCCTTTCTGTCTCTAGAAGGGTTCATTTTAAGCCCAGCAGCATAGCAAAACTAACCGATCCTCACATTAGAGTTTTGTACACCTTATTTGCATGGTCCTTCTCAGTAATCTGGTGGGAGTCACAAAGACCATGGCTAGAAAAGCCATAGCAAGTAATTCACTGCACCACAGTATTTCAGTGACCTTTTACATATGTATACTCTCATATAACCACCACTCAAATTAGGATACAGAATATTTTCATTACCCCAGAAAAATTCCTCATACCCTTTCCTATTCACTAATCCCCCAACAGGGTATTCACTATTCTGTTATCTCTACATAGTAGTTTTGCCCATTCTTGAACTTCATATAAGTAGAATCACCACACAGTGTGCACTTTTCTGATTTTGACTTTCTTTTATTTAACATAGTGTCTTTGAGATTCATCCATGTCATTACATGTATCAATAGTTCATCCTTTTTACTGCTGTGTTGTAATCCATTGTAGTAATACAACACAAATTATTTATCTATTTCCCTGTTGTCTTAGTTATCTAGTGTGGCTATAACAAAAATACCACAAGTGGATAGCTTTAACAAACAAACTTAATTTCTCACAGTTTAGGATGCTAAAAATTTCAGGGTGCCAGCTCTAGGGAAAGGCTTTCTGTCCCTTCAGGCTCTAGGGGAAGGTCACTGTTTCCTTTCAGGGTTGGTGAAAGGGGTGGAGGGAGGCAGCATGTCTGGCCTCGCAGGAATAATGACAATCATTCTGTCTTTCTTTTGTGGGGTTAGAGGAGGTCAGAAGATGCAGCCTCCTTGCCCCTTTGGCAGGGGTGTACCTACCTGGTATAATTATTCACCTCATAGCCCTGTCTGTTGTTTGTCTGGAAATTAAGAAATGGGAGTGAGTTCAATTCCAGGCCTGCACAATGAGTAAGGGCCATAGCCTTGGGGGTTTCACCAGTCTCTATCAGACCAGTAAGCCTGGTCTTTTTTATGATTTTGAGTTTTGTTCCACATTTTTCTTCTCTGCTATCCAGAATCTCTAATTTTGATCCCTTTGCAAGTGGTTGGCAGTGGAAGCCAGGCACCATCTAATTCTTCTGGTCTTAGGATCACATACGCTGAGGGTCTCATGGTCCACTAGTCCCTTGGACTAATTGTTTCCATGGGACTTTGATTTTCTTCACTCTTCTTTGCTCTGGAGGAGGCTCTTCTTTCTTAGTCGTACTGAAGTCCCTTCCTCTCTGCTTGCTTCTCTTTCCTTTTATTTCTTGTAAGCTGAAAGGTGATGCAGGTGGCCACACCCCAGGGAAAACTCCCTTTACCCTTACATCAATCACATCAGGGCTGTGGCCAGAGTCAGGGTGTTGCATTGCACCATAATGCCCTTACAACTGATTGGCTGATCACATCAGATCACGTCATGGCAGATGATTACATCATTACGGAACTACCAGATTGCATTTAGCATAACTGCCAAACCACTGAGAATCATGGCCCAGTCAAGTCAACACATATTTTGGGAGACCCAGTTTAATCAATAGCACCTATGAATGAACATTTGGGTTGTTTATGAATAAAGGTGCTATAAACATACATGTCTTTTGGGGCATGTGCACTCAGTTATCTTCGTCTCCATCTCTCTAAATATACTTATATTCCCACTTTCTGATTTTTCAATTGTAGGGATTATCTGTTGATTTTCTATTATGGAAGATAATTTCTCTCTCACACACACACATATACCCTGTCCCTGTTACACACATTTGTATTTCCCACCACTCAATCTTTCCAATATATTTATAACATAATTTGGATTAGGTCACTTTCTAGCATTTATACTGTCATGACTATAAATGTTTCTTCAAAGCTGATGACTATTCTTCCTTTTCTGTTCAACATTTTGTGTTTTCTTGCATTAATAGTTGTTTTTAATTTTTGTTTGTATTAGTTGCTTGCTGTTCTATATATTGTTAATAATTCAACCATTGAGGTCTTCCCTCATACATAAATCTCCTGGTCAATACATTCAAAAACATTGAGTATTCTCTTTTCACCTTATGGGAGCTCTGGTGGCATAGTGCCTAAGGCATTTGACTGCTAACCAGAAGGCTGGTGGTTCAAACCCACCAGCTACTCCTCACAAGGAAGGTTAGGCAATCTACTTCCATAGTGATAGCGCCTCGGAAACCCAAGGAGGAGTCGTTAAGAGTCGAAATTGACTCAACGGCAGTGAGTTTGGTTGGTTTTTGTTCTGTTTTGTTTTTTTGAGTTTTCACCTTATTAAAGAAGTCTTTCCCACAACATTCTCACTTGCTTTAATTGGGCCTGATTATCTTCTTTGCCTGTTGTATGATGTAGTAGTTCATCATTTTCCTGGAGACATTCTTTGTTCTCTTTTCTATTGGATCCTCTGTTTCTTAGATCCCACATCTTTTCTTGGTTTCCTCCTTTGTTTTAGCAGAACTTATCTTCTAGTAATAATGCATGTCTAAAAGTATTTTTGACTTTAAAACTTATGTGATAGTTAGGCTGGCTATAGAAGCTAGATTGGAAGTCCTTTTGCTTCAGAATTATGTAAGCATTGACCTGTTGACTTCTAATTTCCAGTATTGCTATTCTGATTCTTGGTTGTTTTATGAAATCAGCTTTTTTTTTTTTGGTTGTTGTTGTTGTTATTATTTGCCGTCGAGTCAGCCCCGACTCATAGCGACCCCTCCT